CAGTGATAGAAGCCATACAGATGATTATAAGACATGACATAATCGTAGGAGAGAGTATTGAAACACACCTGTAAGTGCCCAGTAAGAGATTTTGATGGGAATAAAATGAAAGAAATGTCATCAAACACATATTTATCTAAAAGGCATAGAAAATTTCTAAACGAGGCTGTAATAAAAATATTATTTATTACATACCATTCAAAATGTGGATGGTCAAATATAAGATAAAAAGTACAATGTTCTAAAATGTAATAAGGTGTTTCTTCATACATTTCATTGATGTTACTATGTTTCTTGTGACCCTTGAGAGAGACTGCAGTAGCCTAATGGGAAATTTGACTTAAGGTTCTGGAAGTGTAGCCCTGTCAGTGGTGGGTTCCCAGTGTTACCTCCGAGCGCGGTACCAGATTGAGGATTGAGGATAAGGGCGAGGTGCCTGCCAACAAGTCATAGTCCCAGGGAATCTTGTTCGGTGGGAAAGTCTGAGCTTGCTTCTTTATTGGCCAAACACTCTATGACATTTCAGGGCCGCCCTGAGTACGTTTTAAGGTAATTGTTTATTTCCCCTATTGAAGACAGGACCAAGATAATAATTATCTTTTTATTCTAAAACATGTCACAAAGTAGATTCAAGATAAATTTGTTTGATAAATCAGTGGAACTTATTCCCATCTAGGTTGATTATGTATGCTATATTATTCTTACTAAGTACAATGTGTTACTATTCGTCAGAGTCCCCAAATTTATTTATTTCCGCCTGTTTTTTTTTTCTTCCATATCCCACTTATTGTTTGCCTCCTAAACTTATGGATCACTGCTAATTTGCATAGTTGTTTCAAATCAAATGCTATGTCCCATATCTTGCATTTACTCAGTTATTCACTGCTAACGTCTAAATCGGAGAAGTGAAAAGGACAATTGTTTAGTGCTTTTAAAGTCCCTGCCCAAGATCAGTAGGGAAATCCCATTAGCTCCATTCATCGCATTTCTCATAAATCTAAAAGGAAAGCAAGTATCCAAAGCCTTATTCTTTAATAGTTCTTATTTGTAAAACCTTGACAGGGCTTTATTCTAAATTGCTTCCAAATTACATAAAGAATACTGAGAAATATGATGGTTAGTGAATCGTGATAGCTTTAGTTATCGAATAAATAACCAGGAGAGTAAAAGGGGACTAATCTGAAAGCAAACAGAATGATGGGCTACGGTGAGGCAAAAAGAACAGAGCTGTGGCATTCTTCAACTACCATCTGGCTCAATCCTCTTTAAGTGGCCAAGTGGAAGAGTCTTTTATTTGGGGCCCTAAAACTTCTTCAAAAGGAGTATTTAAATATTAGTATTTTCATAAAGTAACTCCACTCCTCCCACCAAAAAAACCCCCAAAAAAACAATCCTTTTTGTAGCCAAAAAGGAACGCTTAAGAAAATAATGGGTAATCTTCTGGCTAAACATGAGGGCGCAGGGCAACCTGTGGGTGGGAGGTTGGCTGCAGGGGCCTGGTGGCCATTCCCCAGCTTGGGGGGACTTTAGCTCTGTCACTTTGTTGTTTTGAATGACTTATTCAAGTTGTCATTATTGTTTTGAAATTAGGCAAGAGGTGTAAAAGTAAGGACTTCATTAGGAAAAAAAATGTACCTGTTAATTTCTAGTACCTTATTTCATCAAAAGGAAACAATCATGTAGTGTTGCCATATAGGATAAATGAGGCAAGTGGATACAAGAGAATTATCATCTATGGTTCTAACTGTGCTTTTGTGAAATGGGGACCCGTTTCATCACTTTCGAACGGACCCCTGACAATTGCTGTTTTTGTCTATTAAGTCATAGATTTTTACGTGAAACTCTAAGAGGCTTTTATTTTGTTTTCTTGAGAAGGTGTGTTTAAAAACTGTAAGCTGAATGATGAGGAGCCCACCACTTGTCTTCAGCAAGGATGCTTTCAAGAAGGTATTTTAGCATTCTCTGTGGTTTAAGAGACAAAACCAAGTCCTGCCGGCTTTGTGTTGTGCTCTTACAGACTGCAGTGCCTTCTGTCTGCTTTAGGGTGTGGCATCTGCCATTGGGGAGGAGAAACTGGCATGTGTCGCCTTTTATAGCAGGCTGATTTCATTGTGCTAGGGGCCTCTATTTCATAGCCTCTTGGTTCCAATCTTCTAGTTGACTTGCTAAAACAAATGGGATTAAAAGAGATTTTGACTTTCTGTACCTTTTTTTTAGTTCCATGATTTTTGTATATGAAAAATATTTTTAGAAAAGGGCCAGAGCTAAACTTGGTGACTCATTTTCCCCTTTCAGGATTAGCTGTGAAAATAAGCCACAAAATATAGCTACACCTGTTTAAATGGACTTTGACATATTTCATCAGTTTGGAAAAATGCTCTCTTACAATTATATGTATGTATTTAGTTTGGGTCTAGATGTCTAAAAGCATAAATACGTAACTGATTTTAGAATATACGTGTACACATACAAAACAGACATGTATTTATATTTGCATATAAGAAACTTTAAAAATTCAACTTTTGTGGTGTATTGCGTATAATTAGTATGTATTTGAATGCATAAAGGGAGAAAATCCAGGAGAAAATGTCAAAAAGGCACACTAACAAAGATGTAGTATTCTCTTGGCAAAAACTGATGAATGATTTGGCATGAATTCATCTTACAGTTCTGTAATTCTCTCTTACACACAATGATATAACCCGTTTTCCAGTTGTTTGCATAGAATTGCAATTTGTTGTTTGTACACTCTGTAATGACCCTTGGGTGTGCACCTGATTCCCCTCCCCCACCAATTAGTCACCACTTTTTTCCCACCTATCCTTTTCTGTTTAGTCATTAACATATTTGCACTTGCTCAAGCGAGTAAAAATAACCATTGCAGTTAAAATAAACTAATCCTTATAAGAAGCTGAAGAGTGAGATGATTTTAAAAAACTATGTTCTACTAAAATCATATATATTATTTCAGCTAGTGTGACCCCTTGGAAGTTCCAGTCTCCACACTAGTGCGAGTGAGTCATTGCTTAGGTTAAGAAGGCCTGCTTGAAGATACCCAGAAGGTTACTAGGTGATAAATTAACAATAATAAAAACATTTAAAACATCATCAAGTGACAAAATAGAGTATTTTTTTTAAAAGAACAGAGTCTGAAATATTTCTGCTTAAGATTAGATTCGACCAGTTTACATTACTATTGATCTTATGTTTATTAAATATAATGATTTCTTTTTAGTTTTGTTTCACATTGCTTAGAAACAAACCCATATCAAGAGGGTTAATTGTGCACATTAACCTCCGAAATATGATGAAAGGCGTCGTATAGATTTATGAAGACATGAGATAAACTTCAGCTGTCGCTATTATGGTACCAATAGTGAAATTTCCATGTGCAAGTGGGAACATAACACACTTGAAGACTTTCCCTTTACAGAGAGGACAGACACGGGCATTTTAAGAAAAATGCTCCTTTGGGAATGCTTTTGCGTTTTCACTGATAAGCCTACACGCAAAAATCGTTATATAAACATCATCTCTGGGGCAGGTGCCGCCAGCCTCAGCACTTACTGAGCACTTGCTGTGTACAGGGCACAGCACTCCCTGAATGCGGCTAACCTCCCTGAATGCGGCTAACCTTCCCTTAAAGGCTTTCAAATTTCGCAGTTTGAAGAAGTTGTGGCAATCACACTGATGGCCCGAATCAAGGCAGAGAGGCCAACATTCTGAAAAATTACATAACTCCTGGGACAGGCAGTGCTTTTGCACAGATTGCCCAAATATTTTCTTTCTCCGTCGGCTCCCCCAAACCCCAACAGACAACTTTGCTCCCCAGCCCTTCTCCCTCTTTTGTCTGCTCGTCAGACTCGTTTTCCACCTTTGTATCGCTCCTTTTAGACGTGAAAACAAACACGCGAACGGCCGGTTGGCAAGGAGACGGGGCACGAGGGGAAAGTGCAGCCTCCCGTCGCCCCACGCCGCCGCGCTCCGGGCGCCTGCGGAGCCGGCCCAAGCCCCCGGCCCTGGGCCGCCGGGTGCCCGCGAGGCTGTGCCCCGGCGGGCGGGCGGGCGGCGGGCGCAGGGCCCGGCGGGCGGCGGCGGCGGCGGCCCGCGCCGAGTCCAGTCCGCGTTTTGCGAGTGCACAGAGTAATCAGAGAGAAGTGGATAATAGTTGCTCGGGCTCGCTCGGCTCCCTCTCATGCCATGCTGGGCCCGATAGGCTCAGTCAGTCGTGTATTTACCCATATCCGGGTTAGAGAGGAAAAGAGAAAAGTTTCATTTAAACCTGAACTAAAAACTTTCACCATGAAATCACACAGCGGGAACAGGCCCAGACCGTAAGGCGTGCCTCCCGGTTCGGCTCCGGCGGGGCCTGCGGAGGGGGAGGGGGCTCGCTCGGTTCCCGTCGGGGCGTGTGGATGCGCACAGGAGGGGCCGCTGACTAAAAAGTGGGTTTTATTGTCTCCCCCCGCCCCCCGCCCGGCCTGGCCACGCCGCGGCGATCATGGCCGCGCGGGCAGCAGCGGCGGCGGCGGCGGCGGCGCGGGCGCGGGCAGGCAGCGGCGA